GAAATGTCTACCAAGACTGACAAAAAAGGAGAAAGCACAATATTAGATATAAAAAAGGAGACACAATGTGGATAGTCAAGATTACAAACATAAGGCAGTTCTACAAAGAACTCTGTGATAAATTTGAAAGCACCAAGATAAGAAAATAGGAAAACATTTTTCCTTAAAAGTATCACAGAATCCAGAACAGAGAAACCTAAACGACCTATTATCACCAAAAATCTAGAGTTAAAAATCTCCCCACCTGGGGTGCCTGGGTGGCTGAGTCGGTAGAGCAGCTGACTCTTGATTTCAGCCCAGGTCATGATCCCAGGGTCATGGGAGCGAGCTCCACATGGGGCTCCACACTGAGCCTGGAGCCTGCTTGGGATTCTCTCTCTCTCCCTCTGCTCCTCTCCCCAGCTCGTAATCGTTTGCTCTTGTAACAAGACAAACCAAAAAAAAAACTTCCCACCCACCCTACACACGCCAGGCACAGTGGTTTTACAGCAAGCTTTACCAAAAATTTTAGAAATCCAAAATTCCAATGTTGTACAAACACTTGTAATGACAATAGAACACTCTCTAACTCATTTTATGAAGTTGGAATAATCTCGATATAAAAACAAGGGCAGCGCAGGAGAGAAAAAACTTAAACCATCTCATTTCTGAGCCTGGATGCCAAAATGCCCCCAAAAATCAGAAAAACAAGTCCAGCAATATATTGGAAAATATATCATGGCTGTTTTATTCCAGGAATGCAAGGATGTTTTAAGGTGAGAAAACTGTCAAGGTAGCTTACCGCAGTCACAGGCTAAAGGAGAAAAAACACGTGGCTCGCTCAGATTACCAGATGTGCTCCTTGACACCTGTATGCCGGTGGCCGCATGGTGAGGGAGGAAGCGGGTGGGGAAGTTCCAGTGGAAGTGACCTGCCCTAAGGCTGATGCTAAAGTGATACAGGCGCAGAGCCCGAAGGGCCACAAGTCTCAAACCTAACAAGTTACTACTATTGGGCATCCAATCACATGGACTGACCATGGCGTCGTGGGGGGCGGAGGGGGAGCTCTTAGGATACTCAGCTCATTCTGGGAGATCTATTCACTCATGGTTGGATTCTGCCGCTAAGTTGGGAAATGGAGGGGGCATTCAACTTCAGAGAATGGCAAAGGGGAGTACTATGCAGAACACAGGACTGTACCTGCATCGGGAAGCTTAGCTACGACCCACAGGAGCTAAAAGACTGAGAAGAGATGGAGAAACGGTGATGAAAAGGTTTTAGGGGGAAAACAGGGGCTATTAGGTACATCACACAATCACTGAAAGCTAGAGAAATATCTAAGGCCAGGCTTACAGATACAATGCCAAAAAAATCGCAGATACACATGACCAAGCGGGTGACAGTCAAGGAGTACTCAGAGGAACACTGGTAGCCACAAATGTTAGAAAACACGACTGAAATTAAGCACACAACTCAATAAGGTAGCTTTGAGCAAATAAACCCAAAGAAACAGAAGGAAAGGGCCAATAAAGTAGGCAGACATCTTGTAAAGCTAGTCAAAGAGAATAAAATGCTCTCACCCCGTCTCCTTATTCTGGTAAAAGAACCTCTCTATTCTATGGAGCACATGGTACATACGAAGCAGGTTTGGCTCATCTCGCCTCCCACCAAACCCCCATCCTCCCTATTCAGCCCTGGCCACAGCGCTTGCTCAGGAGAGGGCCAGCGATCCAAGAATACCCACTGATCGTCTGTGAAATACACAGATGCTAAGGGAGGAACTCTTTGCCTGTAAGGACTGAATGTAAACTGGAGCTTCCTGCAGAAAACAACGGTAGGGAGAAAGAGATTCGTCCACTGACAGAAGCAGAGGTAATCCAAGAAACAAAGGAGAGTCCTAACGAAATCATGCCGGACCTGGATCAGCTCTGCCTAGAGCTGTATTCTTAGACCTCTGTCAACGAGCCCGGGTTTGCTTCTGCTAGTTGGAGTTAGATTTTGTCGCTTATAAGTAAGAAAGTCCAAAACGATCCCCCAAACAGCTTAAATACACATGAAATACGACTCACAAAATATAAACTGCCAAAATGGACTCAAGGATAGAAAACCTGAATAAAATGGCACAGAATTAAAAAGCAAAGATCTACCCCTTAAAAAGGAACCAAACAGAGATATTTTTATAAAGCCTACCAAACTTTGAGGCAACAAATTACTCCTGTTCTACAAATTATTGCAGAACAGAGAAAAAGATAAAGATTAAACATCTCCAAATCCATTCTACAAGGCTAGCATAATGCTGTTATCAAAATGGAACAGCGACACCATTAAAACAAAAAGTGAAACTGGCCCAGAGGTAAATATAAAAATCCTAAAGAAATGGAACAAATCCTCTAAAACTAAACAGGGCTTACAAGCAAACCCAAGGACAGCTTGAGGAAGTCTGTTCATGGACAGCAGCACAGTAATAAAATGAAGACTTTTGGTTAACTCAGTAGATAGCAAAATCCATCACTGTTAAATAAAGGGTAAAAACCTTCAGCAAGCTGGGAACAGAAGGAAACATTTTCAGCCTAATGGAGTTTATCTAGCAGAAACTTAGAGCAAGAACTGTGTGAGGACACATGAGAACCATTCCCATTGGGAGAAAAACAAGGATCCACCCAATGTTACACTGGAGGTCCTGATCCCTGTAACCCCTATAGAAAAAAGAGTGTCAAGGATAAAACTACCACCAGTGGGACATGACTGGACTACCCAGAAAGCCAAGAGAATTAACTGAAAAACCACGAGAACTAAAGAATTCAGGGGCGTCTGGGTGGCACAGCCTGTTAAGTGTCATGATCTCATGGCTCACCAGTTAAGATAGCGCTTTTCTCCAAATTGAGCTAGGAGATTTATTCACTTATTAATGTTTGAGAGAGAGAGAGAATGAGCAGAGGAGGAGCACAGAGAGCAGGAGACCCAGAATCTGAAGCAGGCTCTAGGCTCTGAGCTATCAGCACACAGCCCAATGTGGGGCTCGAACTCATGAACCGTGAGATCATGACCTGAAGTCAGACACTTAACTGACTGAGCCACCCAGGCATCCCTCAAGCTAGATTTAAAACCCTGCCAATGAAAATCTCAAGAGGATTTTTAAGTGGAAATTAACAAGTTCCTTTTAGAGTTCTTATGTAAGAGAAAATATGAAATTTTCAAGGAATAGTAAGGCAGAGAGGAGGGAGCTATGAGATTATTAATCCTGCCATAAAACGGGGTAGGTGCACATACATCAACAGATTAGAAATTCCGAAAGGAGACCCATAAGTACGCAGGAATTTCGTTTATTTTAAAAAGATACCTTAAATCTGTGAAGAATGACCCCTTCAGTAGATGGTATACAGATGACTATCCCTTTAGCAAAAGTCACTTCCCATAAAAAATAAATTTCAGCCAAGTTCAATATACACACACATACATATCCTTAACTCACCTGAAGTTTATTTTTTGTACACACGGACATACAAACACATACACATGTATACGTTTAAAGCTATGCTAAGATACTATCAAGGAAAGTGAACAAGAAACAGATAAATGAAGCAGTAGTTGGAGAGGATGTGGGAACAGTGACAGGTGTTTCAGGCTGTTTTGGATGAGAGAGTCTACAGCATGTTCGATGCTAACACATCCAGTAGAAAGGATGACAAAAACCAAAACTTCCATACAGTCCTTAAGCAGGAGGACAGACAAGCTCCAAAGCACAACAGAAAAGGTTTTAGTCCCACTGGATTACGTGGGGAAATTAGAGACAAGACAATCCATGAGCACATTTGTACGCTTGGTAACGGAGAGGTGAGAGTTCCCTCCAAAGGCTATGATTTAATGAAGTATGTGGTCAACACCTAAGAGGAGAAGGAGGAATTGGCAGACAACGTAAAAGTTTTGAAATACAACATCCCAGAGAAGATCTGCTAGGCAGTGCTGAGTGTCCACTTGAGGTTTTGTTAATTATGAATTTAAGGTAGAACTAGTGAGCTAGGTTGGCTGTTTTCTCTGGCAGTTACTTGAGCATAAGCAGAGAGGTAAACGGGTTGGCCAGGGTTAGGTTTTACTAGATGAACACAGTGGAGGGAAACAAGGGAGCGGGAGGGCATAGGGAAGTGGAGATAGGAGAGTAACAGTAAGATGGGAAAGGAGCGGGGTGGGGGGTGGGGGGAGGCCTGCAGATAAAGATAAAGAGGAGGCAGTTGAGCAAGCAAGTGAGAAAGCCAGGAGGTGGTGACTGCACAGATGTATGAATTCAAGAAGGGCAATTCCTACCAATGGCAGGGATCCAGGGAGGGACCGAAGACACAGGCAGCAGGCCTCAAGTGGAAGACAAAGAAGTAGGGGGCCACATACAGCGTTGAAGAGACCCACCCCCAGGAGGTACAAAATGACGACAGAAGCAGGAATAGAAGACTCTAAGCCAGGGGGTAAACTCTTCAACGTCTGAACAGTGATTAGGTCAAGGCCAATAATGAAGAGGGAGTGTATGGCCAGAAGTATGAGCTTCAAAGGACAAGTGGGATGGTTTGCAAGAGGGCTGAGGAGTAATGGTCTGTGTAGCCACAAGGCCGCCACCAGGCAGAGGATGTACACCGCAGCACGGAGGTGGGCATTCCTGCAGTTGTGGTGACTGGCACGCCAGGAAAACAGCTTACGAGGCACTGTGAAATTTGTCCTGAGTGTCTCTTAGAGGCAGAGGCACTAGATCCTTCTGCCGTGCTCCTGAATGCCTGACTCAGTATTACTTGCCAGCAGGCAACAGAGAAGGATTGCTCCCAGTTAGTAAATACATGCATGAAGGCACAGCACAGGGCCTGGCACTTACTGAGTGCCCAGTGAGAATCTAGGAAAGGTTCCAGCCATTTCCGTTTCCTGCCCGTTTAGGACCTGCACCAAGGAGCAGTCTGTAACTTCACGAATCCCTCCTCCCTCCAGAGAGCCACTCAGACACCAGCACAAGTCGTCACCCACCAGGGGTTTAATTCTCCTTGAGCAGAAGGTCAGTTCAGAGAGGGGCCCTGCCTTGTCCCCCATCCAGAGGGGGAAGATCTGCAGAGCACCCCAGGAATGTCTGAGCTCAGAGGAGCCAATCCTAGTCTCTGGGCAAGAGAAGCGGGTCGAGGGACTCAGGCTGCCTCTTCCTCTTCGCTCTCCTCCTCGCTCTCATGATACTGTCTGCGATTGGTGTTAACAAAGAGGTCAGAATCATCTTCAGAGCTGGACTCTTCTCCTGATGACTGTGGCTCCACTGGGAGTTCTGGCGGAGTCTGTCTGCATGGGGGAAAGGGACAGGGTTAACCCAATGCCTTCTGGAAAAACTAGACTGGCAATCAAGGAGCCCCATAAAAAGGAGGGCATAAGGCCAAGAAAAATTGTCTAAAGATTACCTCCCACCTCACATCAAAAGTCTGCAAGAACCACTGGTTTTAATAAGGAGTCCAATCACCAACACTCAATGGACTCACACTACATACCAAGTGCTATACTAACCAATTTTACAAGCATTAACTCCTTTAATCCTCACAAAGCTCCCATCTTACAGGCGGGGAAATCCAAGCCTAAGAGATGAAGTAACCTGCTTAAACCATTCATTTACAAGTGGTATTGCCATGATTTTAACCCCAGGCATCTGACTTTCAAGCCACACTCACAACCACATATTCTGGAGCTCTCACCAGGGACTCTACACAGATAGAAAGAAGGTCTCTATTTTCCCCTCAAGTCTCCAAGGCCTTAGCCCCTATTTTCTGTCCTAAGGCTTGTTCCTCACCTGTTCCTACTGTTGTTGTGCTTCTCAGCCACTTCTGAGAAGGCCTCAGGCCTGTACCAAGAGAAGAACCAGGGTCAGAAAAGACAGAAAAATCTATCAGCAAAAAAGCTGTTTCCAGCTGTCCCTGCCTGGGATGCCATCTTCCCTCCCCCACCTCCACAGCTAGGAAGTCAATATCCCCCAAAATGAGACAGGCAGTGACCAAGGGACCACCCTACCAGAGCCCTTCCTTCTGCAGAGAGCGCACATGGTCTTTGCAGAGCACAAAGGAGATCTCAGCCTTCACTTTTTCTCCCTCTTCAATCGGGTCAACAATGAGAAAGTCGCCTGCAGGTAAGACAGGAGAAAAGACACAATAAATCCTGCTTGCAGTGGGGGAAACCAAGCCCCCAGGAAACAGTTGTCTCCTATAGGGCTACCTCTCTCACCTCTCTTGATCCAGATGTTCTTCCGGTATTTGGAGGGCATGCTCACCAGGAAGCGCTGCCCCTGGGCTGTCTCCACCTCATGCAGATTGTTCCCTGGGGTCCTGAGTACCTGGTCCAAGAGAGACCAAGAACCAGTCAGCCTCATCAGCCAGCTCAAATACTCAGTGAGCTGTGCTGCACCTTGCCGCCGTGCTAGGGGTCCAAGGGGAGTAGAAGGATGGGGAGGCAGAGCCGCTTATGCCCAATGCCACTCACCCTCACGATCTGCTGCTGGTCAGAGGGCACCATATGCTCCCCCAGCACCTCCTTCACCACATGCTTCCTCTTGGTGGCCTGAGACATGCTGGGGCCCGTCCCGGGGGGGTGAGGGATGGGGAGACTGTCAACTCCTCCTCCTGGGTTTCTTCGATGGCAAGTTCAGAACCCAGGACTGTTCTGAAGACGGAGAAAGACCTTTTACTGACGAGTGACTATGTCCTGGTTAAGAACATGACCTTTAAAATCTAATTACTAGGGTTCAAATTCTATCTTGGCTATGTCCCAGCTGTTCAACTTCCCTAGTTTCAGAGAAAAATAATAGCTAACTCTGATCACCGTTAGTAGAATCAAATAAGGCAAGCAAAGCACTTAGCACAGCATATGGCACATAAAAACAACTGACTGGGGTGCTTGTGTGGCTCAGTAGATTAAGTGTCCAACTCTTGAGATCGTCTAAGGTCCTCATCTCGCAGCTGTGAGATCAAGCTGGGAGTCTGGCTCTGTGCTGAGCGTGGAGTCTGCTTGGGATTCAATCTCTCTCTCTCTCTAAATAAACATTCTATTTATTTACTTATTTATTTAGGAGTCTGCTTGGGATTCATTCTCTCTCTCTAAATAAACATTTAATTAATTAATTAAGTATGTATGTATGTATATGTACGTATGTTTATTTACTTTTAAAACCGAGAGAGACAGAGCACGAGCAAGAGAGAGGCAGGGAGAGAAGACACAAAATCTGAAGCAGGCTCCAGGCTCCCAGCTGTCAGCACAGAGCCCCGCCGCAGGGCTCGAACTCAGGGACCGCGAGATCATGACCTGAGCCAAAGTTCTATGCTCCACCGACTGAGCCACGCAGGCGCCCCCGGAAATAAACATTTTAAGTAAACATTTTTAAATAAATATAAAAACCCCCCTCCTGTTACCACATGTGCTGGCACAATCAGAAACTAAATACATGTCCTACAGAAATAAGTCATTCCAGCAACGGCCCGGGGAAGGAGTGTGAGAGGACCTAACTGTATGTTCCTCAACACATCCGTACATCCCTAGCACAGCCACACAACACAGATGCTCAATTTTTCAACACACTATAGTCAGAGACCGATGGTCCGAGCCAGGAACAAGTTCATAAAAGGTCGGGTAAGCCGGCTGGGTCTGCGGCATCTGATTTCTGACTTGGGTACTGAGAAGACAGGACTCGTTCCACGAAGGCTGAAGGTTTCCAAAGGAAACTCCAAAGTGTCACCTCTAGCTGCTGTCCCCTGCCCTCCTCCCTCTCTCTCTTGGAGGAAAGACTCTGAGAGCGAGACCCACACTTACTCTCTGGCCTTCGTCTCCCAGGGGCGCTGCCCGAACGACCTCGTTCTCCAGGACGCTGAGAGCAGCTCGCCCACGACTCACTTCGCAGCTAAGCCAACGAAGGCACAGAAAAGGGGCCTGCCGGCGGTCACGACGATGGCGTGGACATATACTCAGGTCCCCAGCGCCTCTGACTTCTAGGCGACTCCTCCAAGCCCAGTGACGACGAGGACTACGCGAGCCCTCCTGGGTCGGATCCTTCCGAGCACCGTACTTCCGGTGCTACCTCGGAAGCCTCCTGGCTACCCTCCCCCGCCTCGTCCGTCTCTTTAACTCTTCCCACCGCCAGGTCAGCCGAGGCTAAGTTTTTAAGTTCCCGATGCGTGCAGCGGGGAATGGCGTTTTCTCTGACGCCCCAGCTTCCTGAGACCGGACCTACTGCCCGAGAAGCGAGACCACAGAAGGCAGCCGGGCTTCCCGAGAGGCAACCCGAAAGCCAAGCCTACTAAAGGCGCCACTGAGGTCGAGAGCGCCTCATCTCTATGGCTCGAGGCGGCTAGAAGTGCCCAATTCGGAATTTTTTTTCACAGGCGGCTCTTGAGGCGACCCGGAAGCGGAAGTGGAAGAAAGTTCTAGTGGGTCGAGGTATCGCTCGGAGCAGCCGGGTGGCGGGAGGAGCCGTTACGGGAGCGGGAGCTGCCGGTGAGCGCTAGCTGCGGAGCAGGGCCGGAGCTGGAGGCGGGAGGAGGTGCGGGGAGGAGGGGTGGAGAGGAGCCCGAGCGCTGGAGCGGCCTAGAGGATGCGCCCTCGGAGAGGACTCGGCC